GGAGGGAGTAGGGAGTTAAGTAAACAGTGTGATCAACATTGTTGTATGTGTTAGTTAGACAGAAGTGATAAGTGTGAAAAAGGCGTGAAAATGTGAACGTTTTACACGTGTGAAATGCAACACATTGACACATTGAGTCAACTGGAACAAAATCAACAATATCATGTTATCTTCAACCTGTTCAAATAAGAGCGCACAATATATGGAAACAAATGAACAAACAAACAAACAAACACTCATACAAATAGAGAAACGAGAGAAATAATTGAATAAATAATTGGTTGACTGAATGAATGTGAATGGAAATGAAGATTATGTCAATGTGTTTTTATTGTGTTTTTGTCCGACAGTTGAACAAGTGTATATGTTGCAACTGTCAACACTTCATACTTTCAAACACCGTAGTAACATGAAAGTAGACAGCATAATCAACTGTGTAATATAAACCAAGCAAGTAGAAACTATCGTTAACTATCGTTAATTAAAACAATTTGTGAATGAGTTAATCAGTTAGTTGTATGAGAAGTGAGAACCCGCATAATACCGAATTGAACAATCGATCTCATTCTGTCATGCTTTAGGCTATCTACATTGAATTCACTAAAGTCATCAATTAATTGTCTTTCTCTCTGTCCCTCGCTCGCTCTCTTATTCACGTCTATCTATATATACACACACACTCTCTCTCTTTTGTCCAATTGTTGTTGACTATCACATTCGACGTGACGGTATTAATCTGTTCGGAAGTAATATTTCTATCATGTGATGACAATATTGTGTGACAAATTCGTACGAATAATGAATGAGATTGTTTGGTTGGTGTGTATGATGTGTGGGAGAATTGATGTTTCAAATAGTAACAAATTGTTTTTGACCGATTGAAGACAGTTGTGGACATGGGGTTTTGTTCCGTTCATATATGTGGATTTTCGAATACCTTGATAGTGTTACCAGTCAGTCGAGTAATTCATCAGTACGATGTTGAGTATTGGTGATATGGAAGTGTTGATCTAGTGGTGACTGGTGATATGGAGTCGGAATCAAGTAGATTTCACTACATACGACTCATCGATCATTGTGCAGTACCTGAATCAGACCAATAAATTCTGATTTGGTTGTGTGTGAATGGAGCAGTGACTAATTCTCAGGATAATAGACAATATGCTTCACATATTTCAAATTGTGACCATCAACACACCATCACGTTTCATTATATTAATGTACTAACTTGTGTTGCGATCATACACATACAGTGGTAGTGTTTACTTGTTGATAAATATCAAGAGGAGAATTGCACTTTGATCTACAACTTGTTTGATTGGTACTTGAAACAAGCCCACATTGAATAACTAGTGAGGTTTATCGTCCTTCTTCTATACTCATGAATGAATCGGATGATGGTATGAATGTGTATAATTAATTTACTTCACTTCGTTCATCTTCCATTTTGCATTTGCTGTTAGTTAGCTGTTTGTCAGTTGGTTTATTTCATTTCCAACTGTGTGATATTCGAATATAATATTCGAGAATGAATTTCGTGTAGTAATTGACTCGATCTTTAAAATCCATTCATACCGTCTTCACAGATTGATCATTTGAAGGAAAGTTGCAATTGACAATAGTAATCATAATTTGGAAGAGTTCTCATTAATAGTGTGAAGCTGTCATTGGGTAATCTTCATTCAACTCTATTCACCATCAATCAACACGCCCACACGAATAAAAGTACACTTATCTAATACAGTCACCCACAATCACAATCACACACACACACTCTCTGACTCTTTACATCATACGATCACATTTAGTCTAGTTGTTTTTCATGTTCAAGTGAACTGTTGACAGAACAATAAAATATGACTTCCAGTAATGATTGACTAAAATGCATGAATGAGTGGATTCATGAATGATTTGACCAGTTTATCTCCTCACTGATAATATTCACACACACAATAAAAAAACAAATGTGTTTGACCTCAATTAATCACATGCACCTACAATGTTCTAGTGTGGTGTAATGTGGTCTAATGTGGTTTCAATATCCTTATTTAGACATTGACAATGTGGTGACAATTACTATCGATACGATCAAGTAGTAGTGGGTGAACAAACTTCCAACCAATCACAATGTTCATTCATGTTTCTTCGACGATTACAATGTGGTTTGTTACAATGTTTGTAATTAGTCATCACCAATTACGAAAACAGTGAAATGGGATCAGTCATTGTAGTGATTATTACTATCATTAATATTATTATATTTATTACTGTTATTATTATTGTTATTGTCGGGACGATCTGAATAATATTGGTGTATGGTTTTGTGTAGATTGTAAAATGGTCACAGTTTGGAACATAATGTGATTGTAGGTAGACGACCATGGAAGAGCAGAAAGCACTGGAGAGTTGTTTTGTTGTAGTAGGTGAGTAGAACACTTCAAAGAACTCTTGAATCGACCAGCTCCACTGAACCCACCCAACATCGAAGCAGTACCCACAGACCTCCCAATCAATGTTGGCTCACCAACAATTGAAGAAATCAGCATGGCCATCAGACAAATCAAGAATGGCAAAGTAGCAGGACCAGACAACATTCCAGCAGAGGCACTAAAATCAGACGTAGCGGCAACTTCAAGGATACTCCACATTCTCTTCAATAAGATTTGGGATGAGGAACAATTACCGACAGACTGGAAAGAAGGACTTCTGATCAAAATACCTTGGAAAGGCGATCTCAGCAAGTGTGATAACTACAGAGGTATCACTCTTCTCTCAATACCGGGAAAAGTCTTCAACAGGGTATTGTTAAACAGGATGAAGGACTGCGTATACACCCAACTTCGTGACCAATAGGCTGAATTCGGTAAGGATAGATCGTGTACAGACCAAATTGCAACTCTATGGATCATTGTGGAACAATTAACCGAATGGAATTCATCACTTTACATCAACATCATTGACTACGAAAAGGCATTTGATAGCGTGGACAGGATAACACCATGGAAGCTTCTTCGACGCTACAGCGTACCTGAGAAAATAGTCGATATCATACATAATTCATATGATGGATTAAACTGCAAAATCTTGCATGGAGGACAATTGGCAGACTCGTTCGAGGTAAAGACGGGTGTCAGGCAAGGTTTCTTACTCTCACCCTTTCTCTTTCTCCTGGTGATCGACTGGATCATGAAGACGTCAACATCTGAAGGAAAATGCGGGATACAATGAACATCTAGGATGCCGCTGAACGATCTAGACTTTTCAGGTGATCTGGCCGTTCTATCCCAAACGCAACAACAAATGCAGGAAAAAACGACCAGTGTAGCAACTGTCAACCAACATCAAGGTCAGTATTTCCAATACAAATGTCAAGGCAGTTCTACTGTATGGGGCAGAAACTCGGAGAACTACGAAAGCCATCATCCAGAAAATATAGGTGCCTATTAACAGTTGTCTATGCAAAATACTTCGGATCCATTGGCCGGACACTATTAGCAACAACCTACTGTGGGAGAGAACTAACCAGATCCCGGTGGAGGAAGAAATCAGGAAGAAGTGCTGGAAATGGATAGGACACACATTGAGGAAAGCACCCAACTGCGTCACAAGACAAGCCCTCACATGGAATCCTGAAGGTCAAAGGAAAAGAGGAAGACCAAAGAACACATTACGCCAGGAAATGGATATAGACATGGAAAAATGAACAGGAATTCAATGGAATTAGAAAAGAAAGCCCAGGCCAGAGTGGGTTGGAGAATGGTGGTCGGCGGCCTATGCTCCATTGGGAGTAACAGGCGTAAGTAATTAAGTAAGTAATGTGATGACAATTACTATCGATACGATCAAGTAGTAGTGGGTGAACAAACTTCCAACCAATCACAATGTTCATTCATGTTTCTTCGACGATTACAATGTGGTTTGTTACAATGTTTGTAATTAGTCATCACCAATTACGAAAACAGTGAAATGGGATCAGTCATTGTAGTGATTATTACTATCATTAATATTATTATATTTATTACTGTTATTATTATTGTTATTGTCGGGACGATCTGAATAATATTGGTGTATGGTTTTGTGTAGATTGTAAAATGGTCACAGTTTGGAACATAATGTGATTGTAGGTAGACGACCATGGAAGAGCAGAAAGCACTGGAGAGTTATTTTGTTGTAGTATGGGACTCTTCATTGATGCACGTGTATGACCCTACCGGAGGAGTGGTACTCACAGTCTAAGAGATTTAGATGACTTTTTATCTGATACACTAATTATGCTCGTTGAACTCTTACAATGTACTCTGATTTTTATCTGTTAACTATAGCATGAATTTCTAGTCGTAAATGAAACATTTATGTGACAACTAGACCCAATGGTTTGGTATTTTTACATCCTAATTATTGAATTCATGAGTCGATTTAAGCTAGACCACAGTTGAAAACCCGAAAGCAGCGGACGACCGTTTCGTCCTAGTTTGGAACTTCTTATTAGTGCGCATCCACGATCCCGAACCCCACGAGATTCCGACCCGAGACTTAGCGGTATCGCGCCAAGCGCTTAACCAACTACACCACTGATCTCCCAGGTTTTCCATGGTGGTCTAGCTTAAATTGACTCACGATTTCAATCTGTGAAATTTCTAAAATCTCCACAAACCCCTTCTGATAATAAATCACTTTGAATGATCAAATTTTCACTAGTCTATGCTTCATTTTTAAGGATGACAAATTGTATATTGAATACACAACATACAAACATTCTGTTTACATATTCATATATGTGTGTGTAATGTCATATAAATGAATATCCAAATAAGGAAGTACGCCTGTAATTAACAATAATAAGGATTATATTCACATATTATTGAAATAGGTCATTCGTAGTTAATGTTTCAGACATGATTTTATAGATCATATGAAAGTCATTATATGGTGATATATGCATATGCTGATTATACGTGTACATACAATAAGACAATTAGACATGTATAAAAGTTCATTATGAAAATAGTATATAAACCGATCATCATTTAGAACATTTCATTCATAATACACTATATGAATAATCATGATGATGTTAACATTCATTCTGTTTACATTAATTCTACATATACATTGTAATACTGATATTGATACAACTATTTCTATTAAGGATCAACTAAATAATGATCTAGATCCATTGAATATAACAAATGATCCTACTACTACTACTACTACTACTACTACTAGCACTACTCTTAATAATACAGATACCATTTCATCTATATTCAATCCTAATGTAACTTATGTCATTTTACCAACAGTATTTTATTTAGGTCAAACTAATTTAATTACTGTACGTAGTCGTCAACCAAATACACAATTATATATTTCAATGAATGTCACTGACTTATTACCGTATACAATTGAAGATCCAAATCAATTATATTCTTTAAAACAATTAAATACAACAGATTATTGGTATGGTTTAGATATACCATATGAAATTCCATTTATTTTTACACATGATCATTCTATATGGGTTAAATTAATATTTCATTTCACTCATTGTTTAAATAACAAAACTAATCTTATCTCCAATAATCATCATAATAATAGTGAGAAGAATGGATCATGTATTGATTATAAAACAACTGAAGTAATCCATTCTATTCAATTAAAACAATTACCATTAATTACATTTGGTGAAACGGATAAACCAATTTATAAACCTGGTGAATATGTACGTTTTCGTTTTTTAACTTTAAATATTCATAATTTATTACCGATATCAACGAATATTTTGTTGCCAACAAAGAAATTAATCATACAAAAAGGTTCTAAAGGTCAATTAATTGAAATGAATCAATTAGACTTATATAATTGGTATCATATTATATATGATAGTATTACTATTATAGATCCTATGGATAATACTATGAAACAATGGTTAAATCTAACATCTAAACAAGCATATAACTTAACTTTCCCTATATTAAATAATAGTAAAGAAGGTAAATGGAGAATACAGGCTACCATTAAAAATCATAATATTGAAACACTTGAATTTACAGTGAAAAAATATACATTACCAAAGTTTACTGTAACATTAGAAACACCGAAAAATTTTACTATGGAATCAAAATATGTTCAATATTCAATCTGTGCAAAATATACAAATGGACCACCATTAAAAGGTTATATACAATCTATATTATGTGCATGTCATGAATATATATGGGATAAACAATTTTCTAAATTAGATAATGAACAAATTATTCAATCATTATTAAATACACCTAAATGTCCATCGGATCATTATGAAACAAAAACAAGACCATGTATTCTAATGAATTATCCCTTAGATACAAATGGTTGTAAACTAATTAATATATCAACTCATCCATTTGCCTTAGCAACTAATCAATATTCGAAATGGCAACAAATAAGTATATTATGTACACAAGTTATAGAAGAGGATACAAATTCTAAATTATTTAATTGTATCAAAGGTGATATGATTCAACAAATTTATCAACCAAGTATACAATTAGAATTACCACAAGTATATAAATCAAAATTACCAATTTTAGGTAAAATTAAATTAAAAAATTTTGATCAAACTATAAATTATAGTGTGAAATTATCTGTAACAGATCAAAAATGGGGTTGTTATTGGCAAAATCTGGATCAAAGTAATGAACATTATTTAAATATTTTGCCAATCAATTCATCTGGTGAAAGTACCTTTTCTATACCACCAATTACATCAAAACATTCTATATCGATTGAAGCTGAATTATTACAATCATCAATGAATTCAACAAATTCATCATCATCATCATTGACAAATAGAACCAATTCAATGAATCAAAATCCATCACATTTTTATTATTGGCCATCTAAACAACCATGGATCCAAGAGAATAGAATTATTGAAAGTGTTATATTAAGATCATGGGATTCAATCAATCAAATTTATTTACAATTATGGCCACCACGTGATAAAATTATGACAACCTGTCCAAATCGAATCCAATTAACATTATTATCAAATATACGTTTATCAGATAAAGCAATTTTTATAGAATCTGTGATCAGGGGTAAACATCAACAAATTATTATACCAGCATTGAATAAACTACCGAATCATTTAGATCATAATGATTATTGTATTAATCGTGATGATGAATTAGGTCATTATAATTGTTTAAGTTGGAATTCAACAGAAATTCAATGTTTACCTGGTTGGACTGGTGAAAATTGTTTAATTCCTATATGTTCTATAGAATGTAATAAAAATGGTGGATTTTGTTCAAAACCTAATCAATGTCAATGTAAATCAGGTTGGACTGGAATAACATGTAATCAATGTATTAAACGTGAAAATTGTTTACATGGTAAATGTTTACTTGGTAATGATTGTGTATGTGATTCTGGTTGGACTGGTTATTTATGTGATAGTAAAAAAGTAATTTATGAAAAATTTGAAGATGATAATGAAACAAATCATACAGATAATGTTACCGAGGAAATAACTAATCAACAACCCATGGAACATTCTATCACAAATTCATCATTTGAAAAGATAAATATAAAACCAATTCGTACACTATATCAACGTAATATAGAATTTCATATTGATGGTTCATGGGGACCACAATTTACTGCGGTACTTTATATTCATCATTATCATCATCAGCAGCATGATCAAATGATACCTGAAATTATTTCTACACAAATTACAATAGAACAAATTGATAATTGTTCAAGTAATGCTATTGCATTACAATCAATATCTAATCAAACTAATTTAAAATTAAGTCAAACAATAGCAGATCCTGGTGAAAAAATTCAAATGATTATCAATCCACAAGGTTTATCTCAATCAATCAATCATTCTGATATAAAATCAATAAAATTCAATCAATATTATGATCAAGATCAATTATTCAATGAATTATGCTTTATTCGTATTTCTGATATATCATTAGATAATTACCATGGTGATAAAAATTTAATCAATTTACAATATTTTAATAATAAATTAATTGAATTTATTAAAGAAAGTGAATATAGACCATTAGTTGCTAGTTCAACACAAGAAGCATTTTTAGCTGCTGGTTTTCAAATTGGTTCAACTTATCCAGAACCAACTTTTATTCAACGTGTTTATCCATGTCCTTATTTAGCTTATTCAAATTCATTAGATATTGTAATGGATGATAGTGTTGATGATAGTGTATATAAAACAGGAAATTCTCAAACAGATTCATTACGTAAAAAATTACATCATGTAATGAAACCAAGATTAAGAGATTTCTTCCCTGAAGTATGGTTATTCGATGTTATACCGATTACTAATTTACCAATTAATGATGCTAATAATGAAAATAATATTAAAAATATCGAATTCAAACAAACGAATACATTAAAAGGTATTGAACTTAATCTTACTGTACCAGATACTATAACAAGTTGGAGAGCATCAGCTTATTGTACAACAAAACAGAATGGTTTATGGATTGGTGAACCACAAATTTTAACTGTAACTATGCCATTTTATATTGAAATCACTTTACCAAAAGAAATGAAACGTGGTGAAATTTTACACATTCCTATTAGTATCTTTATATTAGATAGAAAATATCTAAATCCTATTTATAATCATCTTAATCAAACAGAATGTTATGCTACTATAATGAGAATACAATTAAATAATACGGAATGGTTAATAACTACATCTAATGAATTTACTGGTTGTATATGTTCTGGTGAAAAATTAACTTATTTAGTTGGTTTATTACCACAACAATTAGGTCAATTAAATGTAACGGTTGAAGCATTTGCTAGTAAACATGGTGAATCTTGTGAATTCATTCAAACGAATAATAATGATGGTAGTCAAAGTTTAATAGTTGAATCACAAATGAAAATAAATCAATCTAAATTATTATCTGATAAAATAACTCGTCAAATTCATGTCATCCCTGAAGGTATTCAACAAGAGACAACACTTAGTGATATTATTTGTTTAAATGAACAACAAACTATATCAATGCGTCATTTTGAATTTATGATACCTAATGATATTATTAAAGATTCATTTCATAGTTATATATCATATAGTGATGAAGTATTAGGACCAGCATTAGTCAATTTAGATAATCTTATACGTTTACCAACTGGTTGTGGTGAACAAAATATGATATTAGTAGCACCAAATGTTTATATATTAGATTATTTAAAATCTATACCAAATACTGGATTCAATGATAATAAAGAAAAATATATACAATCCGCTCAATCTTATATTGTATCTGGTTATTATCAACAAATGAAATATCGTCGTGATGATGGATCATTTTCTGCATTTGGTCAATCGGATAAACATGGTAGTACATGGTTAACAGCATTTGTATTACGTGTATTTTCTAAAGCTTATCTATTACAATCCAATTTAACGATTGATTGGAATCATTTATTTAATGGTACTGTAAATTACTTATTAACTCATCAAAATAATGAAACTGGTTGTTTTGAAGAATATGGTAAAGTATTATATTCTCCATTACAAGGTATTAGTGGAATAGATGAAATACAATGGAAAGATATTCTACTAACAAGTTATGTTAGTTCAGCATTATTTGAAATACAATCAACATTGAATAAAGATAATCATGAGAATTATTTACATGTTAAAATTTATACTACTGAAATAAGTAGATCATTTGATAATGCTTTCAAATGTTCAAATAATAAATTAATGAGCCTTAATTCTTTGAAAGAGATACCTACATCAGTACTTGTTCAATTAAGTTATACATATACAATAATTAGACCATATGATAATATAACTATACAACTTCAAAATGAAACAATCCATAGAAAACAAATTGAACATGATCAATTGGGTACAAAAATATATTGGTCAATAAATTCTAATGAAAATCATAGCATAGTAACTGAACAAAATCAAAATGAACCACGTAATTTAGAATTAACAGCTTATGCATTTTTAATGTTCAATTCTATGAATCAATCTATTCATGATTTATTTCCAATGATTCGATGGATTAGTTCAAAACAAAAATCAAATGGTGGTTTTTATTCCACACAAGATACAGTACTTAGTCTTGAATCAATTGCTGAATTTGCTAAACGATTAGGTTTATCAAAAACTTTAGATTTAAATGTATCATCAAATCTACTTATGATTTCAAATAGGATGAATTATGGTAATTATACATGGAATGATTTAATGACACCAGATAAACGACAAGTGATTAATCAAATTGAATTACCTCAATATCATTTCAATGATCATAATGATAAGATCATACATTCTATTTGGGAATTAAAAATGAATCAATCACAAACTGATTGTATATTAGTACAAAATACATTTATATATAATTTACCTGAAAAGAGAAATATTGACAAAAAGATTAAATTATCTTTGGATATTATTCAACAAAATCAATTATCAGATATGAACTGTAAATTAGCTACATTATCCATGTGTTTACAATTGAATCATATGAAAAATTTAAGTACTATCAGTACTGGAATGTTATTAATACATGTTGCTATGGTAACTGGTTGGGAACCAATATTAGAAGAATTACATTTACAATTAGGTTCTGATGATGAATCCTTAAGAAAATTTACTATCAATGATCAAAATGAAATTTCATTATATTTTGATGAATTCTCTCAAAATGAAACAATCAAATTCGATGGTGATTGGACAAAATTAAAACGATGTGTTAATTTACCATTAAAACAAACACATTATGTACAAAATGTTAAATTAGCAACAATCACTGGTTATGAATATTATACACCAGATGAAAGTGTTACAATCCCTTATCAATTAGATGAATGTAAACAAGGATGGAATATATCTATGAATGAATCATCAATAGATCATTTTACTGAATCTATCATAACTACTGATAGTTCTATAGAGAATATAATAACTCCACAAATGAAACCAATTTGTCCATTATGTATAGATCAAATGAATAATACAATATTACTTGCTGATGAACTATTTACATCCGTATGTAATTATACAAATGGTATATTTCTTATCAAAGTTTTAGAATATAATAACAATACTATCAATGTGACAATTATACAAATATCACAATCTGGTTATACAGCTAGTTGGAATACCACTATATTGTTGCCGAATCTTATAGAATGTTCCTGTCAATTAATCCATACACATCAGTATTTAGTATTATTTTTTGATCAATATACTACTATTTATCAAGGTATTGCTCAAATTGATTTCAATACATTAAATGTTACTGCTAAATTGATATCTACTAATGATATATTACCTCATTTAGAATTAGCATATCAAAAATGGTTAACTATATCATCTAATTTAACGAGTAATGAAGATTCTAATTATTATGATTTCTTTACTTATAATTGTAAACGATTACCACGGATAATTAAATATATTGAAGAGCGATTTATGAATTAAACCATTTGTAATATGAAATAATGATAAGTTTTGGAAAAACAAAAACAAAAACCTAGTAAAAAAAAGAATAATCATTTTACCTTTTTGCGTGGGCGTATGTATCTGTGTGTGCGTGTGTGTGTGTGAAGTCACCTTGACGACATATTTTGCGCTTATGATTATTATGATCCTCTTTTTTCCCCAAGTAAATATTGATTAAAGAATAATCCTTTTTAGTCTTTTTTTGTGTGTGTTTAAATGAATAAAAACTTTATTTAATCAATAATTCGTTTTGATATTAATTATAGTTTAGATGATCATATTCATTATCAATATCTGAAAGATGGAATTTTTGGTAATGGTTTTGATCGAGTTTTGTTCTTTGAGCTGATTGTGTTTTTTGTTCATTTACTTACTTACTTACTTACTTACTTACTTACTTACTTACTTACTTACTTACTTACTTACTTACTTACTTACTTACTTACTTACTTACTTACTTACTTACTTACTTACTTACTTACTTACTTACTTACTTACTTACTTACTTACTTACTTACTTACTTACTTACTTACTTACTTACTTACTTACTTACTTACTTACTTACTTACTTACTTACTTACTTACTTACTTACTTACTTACTTACTTACTTACTTACTTACTTACTTACTTACTTACTTACTTACTTACTTACTTACTTACTTACTTACTTACTTACTTACTTACTTACTTACTTACTTACTTACTTACTTACTTACTTACTTACTTACTTACTTACTTACTTACTTACTTACTTACTTACTTACTTACTTACTTACTTACTTACTTACTTACTTACTTACTTACTTACTTACTTACTTACTTACTTACTTACTTACTTACTTACTTACTTACTTACTTACTTACTTACTTACTTACTTACTTACTTACTTACTTACTTACTTACTTACTTACTTACTTACTTACTTACTTACTTACTTACTTACTTACTTACTTACTTACTTACTTACTTACTTACTTACTTACTTACTTACTTACTTACTTACTTACTTACTTACTTACTTACTTACTTACTTACTTACTTACTTACTTTTACCTGTTACTCCTAATGGAGCATAGGCCACCAACTAGCATTCTCCAATCCACTCTGTCCTGGGCTTTCTTTTCTAGTTCCATCCAATTCTTGTTCATTTTCCTCATATCTATCTCCATTTTCCGACGTAATGTGTTCTTTGGATTTCCTCTTTTCCTCTGGCCTTGAGGATTCCATGTGAGGGCTTGTCTTGTGACGCAGTTGTGTGCTTTCATCAATGTGTTCTTCCTAATTTATTCCTCCACTGGGATCTGGTTTGTTCTTTCCCACAGTAGGTTGTTGCTAATAGTGTCCGGCCAATGGATCCGAAGTATTTTGTGTAGACAGCTGTTAATAAGCACCTGTATTTTATGGATGATGGCTTACGTAGTTCATGTAATAGGTAAATATTACATGTTTGTGTGTAACTTTTAACAGAGATTTGGTTTTGAGAGTCTAGATTTATCTTGTAATCATCTTTCATAAACATATCATTGTAGGTCAATCAGGTTAGTAGGATAAAAGATAGAAATATAGTAAAAGTTAGAGAGAAAAATAACATTTTTATAAAGATCATACATAGTATGGTACACTTATTGAAGACAATGGAAGATAGTCGCACAATATTTTGGATTGCTTGGAGTTAAACATGAACACCGTTGGATGTTTGCTTACTGATCTACATGTTAAGCGAAAGTACTGGGTTCTAATCCTAAATTCAGGATCGTGGATGTGAACTATTAAGAAGTCTCATAATAGAATGAAACGGTCATTTAGTGCTTCCAGGTTCTCAATAATGGTCTAACATTGATCGGTTCATGATCTCAATTAGAAAAGAATGTGTTTAACATAATCAACATTCAAGACATTTCAGATAACGTTACACCTTTGACCTCAACACAGTAATTTAATTAAATTTAGCGAATATTAACTTTTAATTAATCATACATAAAAAGTGAAGTTATTCAGAAAGTTTAATTAAATTACACCAAAACCTCTAATAACCAAGTAACATTAAGAAATTGATTGATCACTGGGTGGCGATCAATGTCATGCGTGTCTAGTCCTTATTAGTGCAGATTGAATGCTACCGATCATGTTGCAATGTGGCCACCAGTCTAGGTGACTCGACACTGCGGCTTGGATAGCTCAGTGGTAACGTCTCTGACTGTGAAACTGGGTGACACGAGATCGAATTTGCCAGGGAGCATCAGGCCCCTCAAGATTACAGGTACACCTTGCTGACAAGTGCCAAGTAGCACGAAACCCGTGCCCAGGGTTTCCCGCCGACTACCTCCAACAAAAGATATGAATCACTGGGAAGAAACTATGAAAGAATATGTCATATATTTTCGTTTCTAATAAGTAGTATATTATTAATAAATTTTACCGAACCCCATTTTTCTAATATTCTTGGTAACTTTGCTTTTAAGTTGCGCCTTTAAATCATAGATCCTATGGGTATGTATCATTATTGAATAAGATATTTAAGTGAATGTAATACTGCTTCAAAACATTGTATATTGAAATAAAGACAAATAGTCTTATGAATCTATACCAACCTATAACTAATTCAATGTTACACAATCCTATTTACATTATTTTCAACATATCATTGTCAGATTTATCAGTATGTTAGAAAAAACGGAAGCATCAGATGATTATTTAATTCATTCAAGGAATTCATTATCAAACTGTACAATCGTATTGTTACGTCCATGATCTATCTACCCGATAATATACAGGAGAGAATTTGTCTTGTTAAAACCTTTACACAGTAAACTGGTTTAACCCTGAGGATAGAAATGTGTGACTCCGAATTGAGACTAATAACCTTCTATCACTTAAATGGTTGACAAGCGAGAGAGGAGACGAGTCAACTAGAACACTACTCGATATAAGTCTGATTCCCAACTTAGATTAGTGTAAAAAGATACATGAATAAATAGGTGATTAACATGGTCACAACACAAAAACAATAAGACGAATACAATTATGACCAAACTGGGAAGAGTACGATACGCTTAAATTACAATAGCTTCGGAACAGAAAAGGGTATGTCAATGAATCATAAATTAAACAAACGCTTATAATTTATAAAATAAACTAGGGCTAAAACTAAATGTAAACATTCCACAAACTTTGAATTAAGTGAAATAACGTCACCAAATATAGCATCCATTGTTTGTCATGGCTTCTTTGTTCCTCTTTTCACAACATATTTCTCCTTAACAGAAAAACGTCATAATGGCCATTTGTCTGAGTACATAAGTAAGGGAAACTGGTTAGCGTTGTGATCCTTGTAAGACGTGACCAATTTGGTTAACTAGAATAAATAAAAAAAGAAAAATGATTGGTTACTAGTTAAACGCAATTGCTAAGATTTCATAATTTATGTCTCTCCCGGAAATGTTTTATGCTCTTTTTCTGGGTCAATATGGAAAAAGTTTGGTCTCCTGCGTTTCCGTAATCATCTTACAGGATTCTGTTGTGGTTCTACAGTCTGTTGAGTCATTGGACTTCCTACATCTAAACTGTTCAAGAGGATTTCCTACATTACGCCCGGTTTCTCAGTTTTCTATGGCGTGCCAGAATTTTCCAGTATGTGGTTGGCATGACCTATCCACTTTTGGCCTCCAACTTCCCCCACATTCATCAGGTTACTTCATCTCCTAAGTACACGTCCACTGCGGAGGCAACTATCAGAGATCATGGACGTATACTTTCTGGTTATTTTGGAAAATCCTACATTTCGTCTCATGGTGACGATTAAGTTGGGTGTCCATCTTTCGGTTTCTTCCTCCTACGTCCTATTGCTTTAGTTTTAATAACAAAAATACTTTGCCAAACTCAGTTTGTTTTAAGATACAACTGTATAGTTTTTTCGAAGATAATTTATGGAAGATGTCGGCATCTGGAAGGAAACAAAGGACTTTGGTGTGGAAATACCATTAGGACAAAATGCATGAGATTTTGAAGACTTATGAGAGCATATTGCATCGGAAACATTCGATTTAGAAATATAAGAGAATGTCACATCATAGACATTGATTTAGAGATATTATGGGAAATTTGAACGGATTCAAATGAAGGCTTATGGGAACATACTTCATTTAATAAACTATTCAGGATATCAGTTTTTTCGATCCAGTTTAAGCCTAGTAGACACAAATCATGATAAATGATCAGATGGCAAATGTCATCGAATTTATGATCTTTCAATTTCACCTCGCACATGACTTCCCCTGTTAGCCTCACTATATCTTCTGAGGCACTTCGGGCAACATGTTCAGTTGATTGAATGGATTAACATCCTAGTTTACTCCACGTGTTTTCGGAAATCAATGTAGTGTTGGAGGCTGTATCTAAATGAAGACGAATAGGTTTACCATTCACTAACCTGTTTACATAGTTCCGTTTACTTTTCAATCCAACTTTGAAAGTCTCAAACGTACTCTCGATTTGACTCTGTGAATGCTGCTTCACATTTCCTCTTTGACATTTTGACCGGGTTTTTTTGGTGGACAGTGACCTTCTTTATGACCAATGCCATGACAGTGGCGGTACTTGTGATTCTTGAACGAAGATAATTTCACAAAATGCCATACTCCACAAAACCAATATGGTAGTGATGGTTTACCAGCAGCTCGTTATGCCATTGCTGTACTTTATATGAAAGATTTAGAAGATTTGACTGCATTTACTGACCCAAAATCGGAAGGTTTCGCTTTCTGTTACATTATCACGGTATCATAATTGAGACTTAACAAACGTTGACATTCAGTTGTGATCATTTGCAAAGTCATGTTAGGTTCCTGCTCAATGAGCATCAAAATTCTGGTGCGGATGTCCACATATTCTGGATTCTTTAATCCACAGATAAAGATCAGACATTTAAACTGGTCTGCTGTAATTTCGCTTATTCCAAATTGTTCACATTCTTGGTTTTCTTTTCTAGCATAGATGAGATAATCATCTGATGGAGATTTCGATACTTGAAAACACTGATAACAAATGTTGAATAATAATAATAACTGTTCACTAAAAATTTTAGATAGTATCATTAGAAGAAAAATCCTGAAGATTATGTTCCAGGATGAAATTCATATATTTATTATATTCATGTGTTTCAAGTCTTCTCACAACTAAGCGCACTTTAGCTGCATCGCCAAGATTTGAGCATTCCGGACGAAATATGTCTCCAAAA